TTTTTTTTTTTTTTTTTTTTTTACTGGTCGGCAGACTGCCGACCGGTCGGCCGAACTGGTCGGCTGCAATATGGTCGGCGGTCGGGGTCGGCGGTCGGCAGGGATGCAACCCTGTTTGGCATCCTATTTGTGTCTGTTCAGACGTCGTTTCGGACTTGCAGTCCCCAAGGCAGTGCCTTGGGCCTGGGGACACCAGGGGGCAGGGCCGATTTGAGGCCGGGTGTCCAGACCGTGCGGACCGTTTTCCAGGCCACACAGAGGCACACCGGCCGGCCCAGCGCTGTATATAGCTGGGCCACGGCCAGGGCAGACACAGTTCGGATAGCTCACTTCTCGAGCGACATGCTGCTGGACCGGCGCTGCACTTCAGCGCTGCGCTAGGGAGTAGAGGTAGAGGCATAGGTAGGAGAGGGGCGAAGGCCATACCTGCAGCGGCGGACTTACCTGGCGCCATAGCTGGGACTCCGCGCGCGACCTGCACAGTACGACGGCGACACTATAGTCAGTGCACGGCGGCAGTACCTGCAGGTGAGACAGTGAGGAGGACGACATCTTCTTCTTCCTCTTCGTCTCGCCTTCCATCTCATCTCCCTCCTTCCTCCTCCTTCCCTTCTTCTTCTTCTTCTTCTTCTTCTTCTTCAGAGAGAGAGAGAGATTACAGGCAGAGGTTACGTCGGGCATATAGCCCAGGATCTGATTCGGCATTTTTGAGGCAGACATTGATTGGACATTCGGCAAGGGACTATTTTTGGACTTTGCTATCACGATCTTGGTCTTCTCCCTCGCCTCCTCCTTCGTCTTGGCTCATCCCCCATCTCTCATCCGTGGTATCTCCCCCATGTGCGCGTACAAGGAGGGACCTTTCTTCTACGTGTGCGGTCCCTCTTCTCACACGTGTGGTGTATGATGGGATGTCGCGTCAGTCCCAGTCAGGTCAGGTCTTATCTTTGAGTCTTCCACTGTGCTACATTGTGCCATTTTGTATGTATTGGGATCCACATTGCTTGTTGATGCTTCGCTGACATTGCATTGTCCATTTCAGTCCTTTTCATCACTTTGCGGATCCTTGGCTCCATACACATTACCCAACTGGGCATGTGTCACTCAGACCAACCACCAGCACGACACGAAGTCGAGAATGGGGCCGAACGATATCTGGAAGATGGGATTTCTCAAGAATTGTTACCTGCATATAGAAGACCGTGGGAAATCATGGATGTCATTAGTGATCCAGATGGTCTGTCCTACGTCGTTGACATACCTCCTCATCTGCACATGTACCCTGTGGTCCATGGCAAGTTGTTACCCTACGTGATTGGTTATTCATTTCCATCATGGCGATGGTCCTCCCTGATATGGATGGTCATGGAGGGCGAAGTTGTCTGTAGATCTGGTAGAAGGGAAAGACCATAGCAGAAATACGATGTCCGCTTCGAATATCAGGAACCTGAAGACAATAGGTGGTATACAAAAAATGAGCTGCGTGAGACAACCCCAAACATACTGTCTTACTACGAGAGGGCTAGAATACTGGAGAAAGATATTAAAGATGATACCTGTCTTGGAGGACCTCGAAATAAGGCTGGCCAGAGTGAAACGTTTTCTACTGGTTAGTCAAGTCTTGGAGGCTGACCGCGATGGGCCAACTCCCGTCGACACGGCACGCCGGCCTCCGACAGTGCCACTCCACTTCCCGTTCAAGCGAGTCGGCAGGCGAGTTGGTACACCCCCTGGCAAATTGCAAGTTCTATACCCCCGTCCTGCTGTCCATATCAATTGGCATCCTTCATGGTGCCTGAGTTAGCGGGCAGACTGGCGTAGTAGCCCAACTTTTAGTTCATCCCACGTCGCCTGTGCTACTTACTATGGTATCGGGGCATACTGACAACTATCATAACCAGGTAAGTAGTGGCAGTTCCTGCTGCCTTTCTCCCCTAATCTCCTTCTCCTCCTCCTTCCTTAGCTCTCTTCCCTTGCGCGCGTCGTAACGCTCGCTACATAACTTTACAAAATGGAAGCGTGACTATGCGAGACTGTTTCATTGGACTTTCATCGACTTGTCAGGTGGTCGGCCATGAAGGCTGCGCCCAGTTTGAGAACCTCCGAAATGAATCCTCCTTAGACAAAAATGGTCAAGCGACAGGCAAGTTTACATCTTCAGTTGAGAGCCCTCGATCCCTGTTGTCCATGTCGTCCTTTCTTGTCTTCCTTCTCTCGATTCTCTTTCCTTTCCTCTGTCTCCTCCCGATTGCCCCTTTCTTCTCAACCTCTCTCTCTACTGGCCAAACGTTGAATCGGAGCTCCAAGTTGGAGTCACGTGCTCCTGAAACCTCGAGAACACATCTAGCCTTGACCAAAACCGTCAAGGAATCAGCCAGGGGCTCCTTCCTCTTCTCCTCTCCACCACCCTTCTACTTCTCCTTGTTCTTCCTCCTCCTTCTTCCTCCTTCCTGTCCCCGCTTGGGTTGTAATGCTCGGTACACAGCTTTACAAAAAAGGGAGCGTGACCGTGCCAGACCGTCTTGTGGACTTTCACTGACCCATCGGACGGTTTCAGTGAGCGTACGCTGCTCGGTGATGTTTGAATACGAGTACAGAGCTACCCGGTAGTGAGGTCGAATATGGGCACACTTTGAATGGAAAGATGCGATCTGAGGGCATACTCACACTAGCACTTTCCTAAAAGAATCTGACTGGAATCACAGCCAGAGGGTATGCATACCAGTCCTGTTGTGGCGTTGTTTCTTTCTTTTGACGCTGTTCCATCCATGCATGCTGAGAAAGGGCCTCGCCGCACTACTCAACATTCCAAAAGTGTCTGGACTAGAGGTCAGACAGATGCGTTTGGACCAATCAAACATTTCCAGCGTATGAGGTAGACTGGCAGCCTGTGGCAGGTCAGATACATTTGGAATGTTGTGTAATGGAATGAGGCCTTTAGTGTAGGTTTTCGTTCTCTGCTCCCACTCGTACGGATTTAGTGTAGGTTGTTGTTTTCTGCCTCACGTGTTCGATTTCGTACAGGTTGTTGCTTTCTGCCACTCATATGTGCCGATTTCCTGTAGGTTGTTGTTTTCTGCTAGGCACATGCCCATTTTGCATGGTGCGCCATATCGTCATTGGTTTTCGGATACAAGGACAGTACCCCACACTATTCTGGCCAGCCCACATAGTCCCATCCAGTCCACGTACTATGACTCAGCCGCGGTAATGTCACCCATGCTGCATGGTACCGCCGAGCCCACATAGTGGCTTGTTTTTTTTGTTTCTTTTCTGGGGTTGTCGTCTGTACCTCCCAGCTGCATCGCCTATCTACCCAGTCCACATAGTGCCATCTGGTCCACACTCTATGACCCACCGAATGCCACATAATACCACCTGCGCACATGGTACCCCCCAGTCCACATGGTATGACGCATCCCACATAGCGGCGCCCAACCCACATAGTATCACCTTGGCCACATATCACAACCCTGCCCACATAGTATCACCCAATCCACGTCGCATGACCTGGCCCACATGCTACTTCCCAGCCAGCATCCCACAATAGTACTTCCCATAGGAGGA